AGTTCAAATATAGACACAATAAATAATCAGAATAGGTGTTAAAAATATGATCATCTGTCTTTTTATCCTGAGAAGAAACAAAACCGATAACTTGGAGTCAGAACAGGATAGAAACTCACTTGTACATGTGGAATCAATATTTTATTGTTTTATCTGCAATCTGTTTGGTAAATTAAATTTCTTGCATTGCATTTATCTTCACCTTGTTGGGTCCAACCTTTGGCTGCCTGTTCTGCTGTTGGCTATCTCGTTTGGATCAATCCCTGAAATAAAATTCATCTTCCCTAGCATTCTGCCTCTGCACCTCACAATTCTCAACACTGCATATATAGCCCATATAGGCATCAATCTGCCAGAATAATATTTTGATGTAAATAGAATTTTAATTATACTTTAGCTTTATTTAGAATTTAGTCAGTAATCCAATACAAGTGTGTGTATGTGAGGGGGACAGCATAATACTTACCAATACAAAATGTGGAATTAGTGGGAGGAGTTCAAATTCCAGCATAGTTGGTTGTGCTCACTTATATCCCTGTTAAAAAGGGTACGAATCCATCTCTTCTCCCACACTGAGAGGGCAAACTGGTCTTTTTAGCTGTGGATCGCAGCCAGTCTAGGTCCAAATTCAAAACTGGAGAAGGCAACATGAAACCACTCCATTATCTTTCCTAAAAAGTCATGGCAATTCACAAATAAAGAAAAGGAATCTGTGGTGGGAAGGAGGAGGATAAAGCTAGAGAGGACTCAATACTTAGCCTAAGTGCATATTTTGATTTACTTAATTGTTCTTCATATTTAATTCAATCTGATTTTTTTAATAGACATTGCCATATCTCCATTTTTTTTTTTTTAAAGTGAAGTTTGTTACATGTGAAATAGGCATGAACAGAAATAATATACTAAAACTTGGAAGACATTGCCAGGCATAAAAACAAACCAACAAATAAACTAGAATTAAAAGTAGAAAAATATTTCAGGGATATAAGTAGATATAAAAATCAGAGTGATTGTAGAAACCCAAAGATGCTCTTAAAATATCACTATTTTATATATCAATGGTATTTCTCTTATTGTGACTTACAACTTCTGGTTTTTCCATGTTTGCAATTTTTTCTTTTTAAATATTTGAGTCTTTGAAACCGTATTACTTTAGCTTTAAATTTTGATAATTTGTTCATTTGTCAAGGGAATAGAAAAATGCAATAACCAAAATCTAATAACTTGAATGTTTTGTCAGAATTAATAATAATTTCTGAGCTGTGTTAGAGATATCTTCATTTTACAAAACACTGAATACAAAAGATCAAGAATGTAATTTTTATTTTCCAGTTAACTAAAAAGATTACAAGTAAGGTAACTAGTTTACATGTAATATCAGCAATTTCTATTTTTAAGAATCTGAAACAACTTCACAAGATGGGAAATTGAAGTCACTTGGACAGCTTCACCAAAGCTAATTGATACAATCATTACCGAGGCTTGAAAGCAATTTTTCTGCTCTTCAATACCGACCACTTGTGTCTCTTGTAATAGTAACTGAGAGAAAGTAAAGCTCCAAAGATCACCAATGCCTGAAATAGAAAATAATTGCAACTAAAATTACTTCCTTTTTCTTTTTAATAAAATGATCTTTGAAAAAGTAAAGGATTTAAAACAGGGAAAGTAGTAACTTATTCTTATCAAAAACAGAAAAATATGATTAATTCACTGCAACACGTCTACTGACATGACAAATCAAAAGCTAAAAATACATTTAGAAATATTAGTGATTTATAATAATTATTAAAGTGAGAGCAAATATCTATCATTAATTGTATTCATCTTACACAAATTATAAGTTAGAATAAATTTCAGATTTCACTTATTTATCTCACTTAAAATGTTGCTATTTTTTGGGAATACAATACTATATATTAAAACAATTGTAACTTATGTACCAAGTGTAACAGAAAAATTGTCCAAATTATGTAAAAGCAAAATTGTCCATTTGTTAGATTAAGCTTTGAACTGCTGTATCTTAGAAATGATGAAAAATATCTTACTAGAATTCTCAGAAGTTTTTATGACATTATTGGACTCTACTTTGAGCAATAAGAATGTATAATTACTCTCCAAGCTTAACAGAAGAATCGGGATAAAATCGATCATAAACGAAAATGACGTTCATTGTTAATTATTCATAGCTAGGGATCAGAAACTCATGAATATATTCTAGGATCATTTTTCCAACTTATTCAAGATGATATTTGCCTTCTCTAACCTTATAACTTTTTGTCCTGGAGTAACAAGGTGCCTCACAGGTTTCATTTACAATTTAATTTTCAAGTTTTTTTCACTGCTCCAGTTTTCCTTTCTACTGTTCCCTCCTTTTTAAACTTATTCACCATTCTCTTGATGGTTTTTGAATGGACTTTGAAGATGGAAGACAGAGTATGAATGTTGGTACCATTACTGAAGGCCTGAATGATCATTTTCCTGTCACCATTGCTCATTTGGGAAGACAGTGGGTCTAGCACAAAACAATTTTAACCTGCTGTCTTTTTAGCTGAATAACTCAGTGATTCTTATAAAAATGGTGTCAAAATGGCTAAACATCTTATCTGAAAACTTGGAGAAAAAAACTCAATTAGTTTAGTGTTTTTTTTTTGTTTTTTTTGTTTTTTTTAAATATTTTGTGGGATGGACAATTATGCTGTTACACCCTATATAAGTAAATGAAAAAGTACATTTAAAGCCCCTTTTTGTCATATTACTATTTTCTTAGCTAGTCCCTTGCTTTTAAGAAGAAATAGTTTGTTTTTTTAATAGTATTCACCCCAAGCAAAGTGATAATGGCACTAAGATGCAATGGGGGCTATTGGTAGTGAAAGAAAATAAGACCTCAGAAGAATGTTTAATTGTAGTACTTCATTGGATTTTTTTTAACTAGTATTGAAGAATTACCAATATGTATTGGTTTTATTTTAAGTATTGTCTTTAAAGAAGACATTGTCATTTGCTTTAAGGAACGATCCTCATTTTTGCTAGTATAATTGATTTTCTAATCATTGGGAATGTGGTATTGCACCTTTTTGGTCCTCTTGTTGAGTTTTGATAATTAGTGAGGATTTTTTGTGATGATTTTATGTTTGAGAATTTCAGTCATCAATTACCATATTTTCTATGTTATTGGCTCTGCTTATTTTTGATGGCTTTATTTGTTTCTTAGACTTCTGATTAAAGTTATGAGATATTCTACAGAGTTATTTCTCTTGGGCTTTTTTTTGAGAGTCTTTATTTTGAATTTTTTCTATTTCCAATCCATCAAATCTATTCTGTGTGGTAATTCCATTTCTTTGTTTCAGACTGTTGTGGATTTTTAATTTGTTCTGGTAGATTAAGTTTGATTTGTCAACCTTGTCATTTGTTTTGCATTACTTGTTTGATTAGAATTTTTAGTTTCTTGTTTGTGCAGCATTGGTTCTTGTTCCATCTTGATATTTGGCGTAGGATTAACTGAACACAAGACTTCTTTCATTAAGAAAGATTTTATTTCATTTATAGATCATAGATTATAGACAATTCTTTGGATTGAGTTGTAGTTTTTCTACTAAATGTTTATATTTGTCTTTTTCTTTTGTATTGGTTGAGAATGTTGAATGGTTCACTGTTTTAGTATAGATTTCTTCCTGAGTGCAAGCTGTGGCACCCTGCATTATTAGAAAAAAACTAAAGAAAAGAAATATTCATAGAAATATGATTTAATTTTTTTTTATTCGGTTTATTAACCAGTTGTTAGTTTTTTAGACGAAGAATAATTGAGTTTCGAGAATAATTCTCTAATTGTACTTAGGCGATCTAAGGGAAGAAAAAAAAAAAAAAAAAAGAAAAAAAAATGAGTAATGCAAAAGGCCGGTCATTAGCGAAAACAGGTGTCAAGAGGCCAACGCGCCTGACCGAATTTTAAAAGACAATAGGAATTGTTATTGGTAAAAGTGTATGAACATATGTGCGATTGATAAAAATGTCGGTCAAAGCATCTGGCCTACTTTTGTGTAGAAGACTCATTATCAATTTGGAGAAATGGGATTTTTTAGAACAATGGGAAATGAAATATTAATCGGGAAAGGTGTCTTTTGGGATGAGGAGGTGACCGCTGGAATTGTATACAGATTCTGACCTGTTAAAAATCAGAACTCCCCGGCGATGATGAAGTGAAGACATTTTCAATTCAAATAATTAAGATTTTTGACTATCAGGCCTGAGCAAAAACAAAGAGGTGAAAAACAATTGTTTTTGGCTCACAGAAAGCGTCAGCAAGACGAAAAAATTCTTCCTGAAGTCACATCTAATTAGCGGCGGACTGTTTTGACAGGACCCAGAAAGGTGAGAAGGGCCGAGATTGTCATTTTTTAGATGCGTGCGAAAAAAGGCCAAATTAGATTTTGTTTTTTAGCAAGGTGTTCTTTCCCAGAAACAAAGCCGGGATAAGCCACGCCCGATTGGAGACGTCCGTGAGTACGGAGATGCCCAACCAGAATCTCATTAGCCGAAAGCGGTCACGTGATATCACGAAAAGAGGAGAAAGGACGCCGATCAAGAACCATTGGTCTAAAACGGTCACCTGACATACGAGAGAGCGGGAGAGATGGGTATCGCCTCCCCCAGAGGCACTGTGAGGAAGTAGGGGTGAAAATAAGAGTGATAATGGGAAATCAGAAATAATGCGACTTTTGGAATTATCGAGAAAACCCTGACGCCGACCACCCACCCCAGTTTGTTCGGCGGCATCAATAAAAGCAGAACCCCAATCGAAAAGAAATGAGTTGCAGCTGGACGCGGGCAGTGATGGAGCTTGAACACGGGCATCGGGCCCTGTTCATTAAGCCCCTTCTTGGCAAGAGAATCCTAAGACAAGAAATCCTTCCAGCCCAAGTCGAAGAAGAAGAAGATTGCTAGAAAGCCGCAGAGAAGTTGCAGCCAAGTCGAAGACAAAGAAGAAGAGCTGCAGGCCAGACAGGCCAAGAATTGCAGGCCAGACAAAAAAAGAGAGCTGCAGGCCAGACAGGCGAAGAATTGCAGGCCAGACAAAAAGAAGAGCTGCAGGCCAGACAGGCCGAAGAATTGCAGGCCAGACAGGCGAAGAATTGCAGGCCAGACAAAAAAAGAGCTGCAGGCCAGACAGGCCGAAGAATTGCAGGCCAGACAAAAGAAGAGCTGCAGGCCAGACAGGCCCGAAGAATTGCAGGCCAGACAAAAAAAAGAGCTGCAGGCCAGACAGGCCGAAGAATTGCAGGCCAGACAAAAAAAAAAGAGCTGCAGGCCAGACAGGCCAAGAATTGCAGGCCAGACAAAAAAAAAGAGCTGCAGGCCAGACAGGCGGTGCAGGCCAGACAAAAAGAAGAGCTGCAGGCCAGACAGGCCGAAGAATTGCAGGCCAGACAAAAAGAAGAGCTGCAGGCCAGACAGGCCGGAATTGCAGGCCAGACAAAAAAGAAGAGCTGCAGGCCAGACAGGCCAGACAGGCCCCAGACAAAAGAAGAGCTGCAGGCCAGACAGGCCAAGACAAACAAAAAAAGAGCTGCAGGCCAGACAGGCCGAAGAATTGCAGGCCAGACAAAAAGAAGAGCTGCAGGCCAGACAGGCCGAAGAATTGCAGGCCAGACAAAAAGAAGAGCTGCAGGCCAGACAGGCCGAAGAATTGCAGGCCAGACAAAAAGAAGAGCTGCAGGCCAGACAGGCCGAAGAATTGCAGGCCAGACAAAAAGAAGAGCTGCAGGCCAGACAGGCAAGAATTGCAGGCCAGACAAAAGAAGAGCTGCAGGCCAGACAGGCCAAGAATTGCAGGCCAGACAAAAAGAAGAGCTGCAGGCCAGACAGGCCAAGAATTGCAGGCCAGACAAAAGAAGAGCTGCAGGCCAGACAGGCCAAGAATTGCAGGCCAGACAAAAAAAGAGCTGCAGGCCAGACAGGCCAGACAGACAAAAGAAGAAGGCCAGACAGGCCAGACAAAAAAAAGAGCTGCAGGCCAGACAGGCCAAGAATTGCAGGCCAGACAAAAGGAGCTGCAAGACAGGCCAAGAATTGCAGGCCAGACAAAAAAAGAAGAGCTGCAGGCCAGACAGGCGAAAAATTGCAGGCCAGACAAAAAGAAGAGCTGCAGGCCAGACAGGCCAGAATTGCAGGCCAGACAAAAAGAAGAGCTGCAGGCCAGACAAAAAGAAGAGCTGCAGGCCAGACAGGCCGAAGAATTGCAGGCCAGACAAAAAGAAGAGCTGCAGGCCAGACAGGCCGAAGAATTGCAGGCTAGACAAAAAGAAGAGCTGCAGGCCAGACAGGCAGTAAAGTTGCAGGCCAAACAAGCAGATCAGTTCAGCCCCGGACGGCAGCGAGAAGGGTCCACCTCAGACGGCAGAGAGCTCAGATCACCTCAGACGGCAGAGAGCTCAGATCACCTCAGACGACAGAGAGCTCAGATCACCTCAGACGACAGAGAGCTCAGATCACCTCAGACGACAGAGAGCTCAGATCACCTCAGACGACAGAGAGCTCAGATCACCTCAGACGACAGAGAGCTCAGATCACCTCAGACGACAGAGAGCTCAGATCACCTCAGACGACAGAGAGAAGAGTTGCAGGACGGAAGAAGAAGAAGTTACTTGCAGTTATGTATAGAAGAAGTTGAAATCAAACCAAGCCCAAGAACAGAAATTGTCTCAAACCAAATCGAAGTGAAGAAACGTCCAACTCAAGCCGAAGAGAAGAATCAGCCGTGAGCGACTGGTAGAGATTAGCGCCCAGTGTCAAAACTAAACCACACTCCGACACACAAAATTCTAGAGAGTAGGCAACTCGAAGTCTTTAAGTTGTATGATAGAAGCTTGGTGCCACAGTCCACAAAGCAGGTCGGAAGTAAGAATAATTTTTATGTAATCTAACATTAGATATAAAGGTTGTTACCCTTTTTTATCAGTAATTTTTGGTCTCGTGAGTTTTTTTTTTTACTTGTGTTTTGCCACCCCCCGCCGGACTCAACTTGCATACAGCCCCAATCCTGTTTGATCCCGTCTGTCTAAAATCTAATCCAACGTGGGTAGGCAGACCGAGATCAGTACAGTTACCCTGGTAACCAGGTGTTGGAAGCGAGTTGGGAAAGGCGAGGCTGGTAATCATCTAACCAAGGGTTGGAACGTCACACTTGGGGCAGCAAGGAGGCGACCGGAGGAGCGTCACCGTTAGCGCCCGTGACCAAAGGATTCGACCCTGGACCAAGTGCCCGTCCACAAAAGCTTCTGCCAGTTCTCTTCCTTCTTGGAGTCAAATATTTTGTATGTATCTATTTTTGATTATTTTCTTTTATTCATAATTTTTAGTTTATGCCAGATTGTCTTCTCTGCATTTAAATCTTTTCTTATAGTCATTTTCCTTGTGTCTGTTTTTTTTTTCTCTGCAAGTTTTATGAAATTATTTGTGATGGTCAAATTTTTGACATTTAAAGCACCTTAAGGAATTAGGAATATATTGTTCTATTTCTTCTATTGTGTAGAATATTTTAATTTCAGTTGGGATTTTTGACCTTTTGAAGGTGAATATACGAGTGCTGATTTGTATTGTCCTTTCTTCGTTATTCTCTTTACATCAGTAACATCTCGATTTCACAATTCTATTTTTAGGGCACAGAGTGATAATACTTTGTTCATCACTACACCATTTGATGTATTTAAGGTTTTGTGATGGTAAGCTTTTATTTTGATATTGTGGACAATGGTCATTCTTTAGTAGGTCTTCTGCATGCATTTTTCTTTCCACTTCTACTAGAAGTTTGTCATTTTTTTTTTTTAAACATTCTCAGGGATTAAGTTTGCTGAGATGACCTTTTCTATTATAAAATAGAATATTAGTTGGATATCATCCATTTCTCCCAAAACTATAAATGTTGGAAATGATTTTAGTTTTTCCTTCTGTTTCTGATTCTTTAGATACCATGTATTTTTAGAATACTTCATTATTCTTGCTCCTCATCCACATTGGAGCCCAATTATGAGAAATGGCAGTAGAAACCCAATTGCCTCAACATAAGGATACAAGAATAACATAGTTGCACTTCCAAGAAACTATAGGCACTTTCATTTCTTTATATACGTATGAGACATATGGGAAATACAGCCATGTCATAGTTTTGTCTTTCAAACTGACACTCAGTGCATTCTAACATGCAGACAGCTGACAAAACTAAAATTTATTTTGAAATAAAAGTCATAATACAAAATTAACTTACTCATATCTTCTTTCTATATCTATAATTAAAATCTGATTTTTGTATGTAACCTGAGTAACCCAAATTGGCTAGCTAAAAATTTATTTTAAAAAAATTTAAACTTTTTATATTTATTTTTTTAAAAAAATTTATAAAAAAATAAAAATGATTATTTTTATTCATTTTTTGAAAAATACAAATACGAAATTACACTAACCTTCATTGCCATCTTTTTACGCTGATCGTGTTCAGGTTCAGCTGCCCATCTTAAAAATGAGACTACGTCCATAGCCAACTGACTCTGAGTTGCTGGGGTGCCTGTAGATAAACAAAACAAAATAAAGCAACCAAACCAACAGACACGGAGCTGATTGTAATTGCAGAAAAACAAAACCAAAGAATGGGTAAAATATGACAAGATAAATTTCAATATAAACTTTATAATAATGCTGTTTAGCAGTTTTTGGTGATAACAGGTAAAATACCTTCTGGTGCAGGTACAAAATAGTAGTTCCAAATATAGAACAAGTGATTTAAGTCAGTAAAGTAACTGAATCTACTATTAATTAAAATTTATAAGTTCTGTCTCTTTAATCTTACATTTTCTAACATAACAGGATTGTAAATTTTAAAAAATCCAATTGTTTCTGCTATACTGATGTTAATTTGCCTTGAAAAATGTTGAATAATAATTAACTTAATAATACAGAAAAATATCTACATGCATACCAAAATTTTGTTCATTTTTTTAACTACTGATTGATTTGTTTTTACGGCTTAACTTTTTGTGGGTTCTTTAAATCTGAAATGTATTTTGGATTGTAAGAATTTATTTTTTTGCTAGTGAATACTGAATTAACAATTTATTTTTTTTTTAAGAATAACTGATTTTTCCAGATACAAGTCCTACTATTTAACCCATAGCTGAGTAAGGAGATGGACTCATATTTTTCCCATGGGTATTTGTATGCAAGTGAATGTACTGAAGCAGACTGAAATTCAAACTCAGCTCTCCAACTTCTCATTCTGAGTTGCTATAAATTAGACCACTCACACAAACTTCTGAGATACTCTAACAAATGTTTCAAAGTACTTTGTTTATTCAAGTGGAAGATTTTAAATTAAATTCAAGAGGCATTTTTAATCATGTGAAAACAGCTTACCATCATCATACTCAATAATCTCGTTATACAAGGCCTGAGCCATACTAATAGCACCACCAGGGAAATAAGGATTATAATAGGTTCCTTCTTGTAGAGAGATACCAGCAGGAGGATCACAATAGCCACACAAAATAGAAAAGATGTAATCCTGAAATAGCCACAAAGATAAACTAAATATTAAAAATTTATAAACATTTTAAACTTTCATTTATTATGCTTGCAAAAACTAGAAGTAACAATTTATATTCATTTCTTTTATCACTTTTCACATTACATTATACAGTAAAATAGCTTTTAATTGTACTATATAGAATACAGATTTTGTTCATGGCAGTCAATAAAAGTGTGAACTGTAGTTTTACATTGATTACAGTGTTTTTCAATTGTAATATTTCAAAATTTCAATTGTATTATTAATTCGAGTTAGTTAAGAAAAGTAAAACTAGATAAAAATGAAGATGAAATTCTAATAATTTCATGGAATCAAGTCACAGTACAGTCTCAAGCCAAATTTAATAAGTGTATATCTAGCATATTGGATATATACATTTCATTTAATTATTTCCAAGCCAGAACCATCTTTAACTAAGATTACCTAATAAAAAACAGTATTTTAAAGGATAATGATCAAAATGAAAGCTTATGCTAAGAGATTAAAGTAATTTTGTAGTTAAAAAGAAAAAAAACGAAGAAGAAATATTAGTATAACAATCACTCACCTCTCCTCCATGCCGAGCAGAAGTAATATATGTCAAGTCAGGAGGCAGAGCGCCATTGTTTGCTGCTCTGGCAGCTTCATCATTTGGATATGGGTTTGGAAATCTGTCAGAAAGTTTTCCAGGGCGTTCAAACATGTTACCATCATCATCAGGTCCATCTAAAACCATTATCTAAAAATCAGTAAGTAAAAGTAAAAGATTAAAGGTTTATCTGCTTATACTGTTAGAAAGCACAAAATAAATCTTTGTCTTAACTTTAAATAGTTTTTTTTTTTAATCCTGTTCATATCATGAAGTTAAATTCAACCAAATTCCATTTTCTAATAACTTTATTAAATTCATACAAAGATAAGTAATTAGGTGTGCACATAATTGTTTTTAATTCATGTCACAATACATCCAACATATTGAGATAAAGGAGAAAGTTATTCAGTTACAAAGAAAGATTGAAGATATAGATTTCATTTTACATTTTGACAACTTCATAATAACTGACAAATTTCAGAAGCTAACTGCTAAACATGAATATTTGGAGGCAATAATTCGATAAGAGCTGCAAAGAAAGAAAAAGAAAAATTGTACTGCCAGTAGGAAAAAAAAAAAAAAAACAGACTGTCAGTTATCAGGGTTTGATATTAAAACCCAGATACTTTGAGATTTGTCATTAAGAGATAAAATATTACTAAACATTGAAGTGAAGCATGCTATTTATATTACATGCACAATAGTAACTTGTATTATCTATTCACTTTTTATTATTCTTTAATACAGTATTTCCTAGATTATCTGTACCTTTTACAGAATTTAATTATTAAGATTTCAAATGAAGAGAAATAATTGAAATCATCCAAACATTTTTTGATTTTCCAAACTAAACCCATTTTTATATTTCATCTCACACAAGCATTTTAGAAAACCATACTCAACATTTGATAAAAAACTAATAAAATTAGTTCAATAAATTTTCTTGTTGGTTTCATACAAAAAGCATACATTTGAATTGACAGCTTGGTCACACAAGAGATTATGGCTTACACAACTCTCAAATGTAAGTGACACGCATGAACTATGCTTGAATGGGAAATAGAATGCTTTTTGTTTGCCCAGTACGTAACAAAATTGGATTGATAAATGCTCCAGAAAATGTTGAGGAGAAGGAAGATAATGATATTGTTGATGTTCAATAGCTCCAATGCCCAATTCCAAATAACAAAGCAATGATTATGTTTGATAAAGGTTTTAAGTTTGTTTCACTTTCAATTAGAAACTACACTTATATTTATTTTAATCCAGTTTTAGGAACTGGGGCAGAAAAACATGAAGCCGGTGGGAAACAAACAAAAATTGATGCAATTTTTTTTTTTTAAAGTCAAAACTGGACAAAACCATAAACAAAGTATTTGAAAATGTTAAATTTCTTTCAGAAAATGACTTTCTACATTTTTCTTTAATAATTTAGGCATTCAATTATCTGAATATATTTTTTTCAATCCCTGTATCAAGGTGTTCAGATAATTGAGGAAGTACTGTAATATATATATATATATATATATATATATATATATATATATATATACTATAATGATCTAATTTCTGTATGCTTGTTTCAAAAAACATAACAAAAATGGTGTAATGCCATTAAAATAGTCTTAAGTTGGAGAATAAAGCAATATCCAGTTCAGTTGGGCCATCAATTCCCAAATAAATTTTAATTTATAAATTTAAAAAACAAAATCAAAACAAAACTCAGAAGGCAACATTTAGGTGAGTACCATTAAATGAAAAATATTTTATTTCACAAAGTACAGGGTTACTAATTTAAAAAAAAAAAAAAAATTATATATAAATCAAGGCATCTGTTATGATAGGTATTCTCTGACAGATGTAGTCTCGTCAAGAGAAGGTAACTCTCCTGTAGGTATAGCGATACTGCCTTTTATGCAGTACCTCATTTACCTATCACTACACCTCCCTGAACCTAAGAGGCTTCATACCTCTAGTTGATCTTTGACTTCTATGAACAACCCTGGGAGACATCATCCGTCTCACAGTGAGTATTTCTTTATATAGGACATCTAGGTCTTAACTGATTCCCCTCATTTGAATGATATTTCTGGTCACCCATCCCTAGATTGTTCCTCACCACTACTAGATACACTCATTCTCTCCTCCCTCCTGTTCTTCACTGCCATATCTCTGGTAGTCTTCTTGATTACTCTCAATACTGGATTCCTTTATCCTTTGTTGTGTTGTCTGTTCTTCTGCTTCCTCTTCCAAAACTTCATGCTCTCTTGTGGTTCGAAATTAGTCTTAATGAGCCATTATGCACTGTGCCTTCTTTGTTAACACCGCTGTGTTAAATGCCTTTTGCACCACAAAATACGCCTTTTCAGGACTTGAATTATTGTCCTTTCTGTACCACACTTTCATTCGTTGCAAATGACATGGTAATTAAAGCACTTATCAATGTGTGGTCTTTTTTCTTCTGTCTGTATCTGGAATAGCTCCATAACTTAGGATTAGTCAGGATAAATAACTATATCACAGTCCACTGGAGAGAATGCTTTTAATCCCATTTTTACCGTTTGAACCATTCTCTCCACAATTCCATTTGACTGTGGGTGGTAAGGTGGTGTTTTGTATGGAATGCAGCCAATACATTTTAACCATGCACATAACTTTCTTCACAAAACTCAGGGGCATTGTCAGAGACCAAGGTTTTTAGAACTTCATTTCTCAAAAACACTATCCTTAACACCGGATTCATAGAAGTGGCTTTTCTATCTACGACTTTAATAACTTCAAGTCAATCTGAATACAGGTCGACTAACATCAGAAACATTCCTATACCTTTAATATAGGCATGATCATATGTACTCATGTCCATGGCTCCATTTCATTTGGCTAAGAGTGAATTTTAGTTTGCCTAAATTTCTTTATTTCTGTACACTTTGCCATTTTTTTTAATATATTCTTCCATGTTTCTTGAATAGCTTGGCCACATTTAACCACATTTACATAGCCAATATACTTCCGTCATGTATATCATTGTACACAGCTTTAATTACTTATTTTCTCAGAGTCTGTGAAAGTACTATGATATCTCCATTACCTATAATTCCTTTTTCTATTGTTAATTTTTGTGTCTTGACTCTTTATAAGGTCTCTCAGCCATAGAGAAATTACTTCATGTATTTCTCTTCATTCTATCCATAATTCTATTCAACACTGGATCCTGCCTAGTTCTCAACCTAAGCCGATTTAAGGGTAACACATCCATTTCTATCCAGTGCAAAATCCTATCCTCACAATTTTCACTTGCTTCAACATTTTTACTCACAAAATTTAACTGAGATAATGCATCCACATGCAGAATAGTATTTCCTTTAATATATACAATGTCAAAGTCTAACACCATAAGACTAATTGACCATCTTAATATCCGGGCAGATAAGATCTTCAACAAATCACTTCTGGAGTTGAATATAGATTTCAAAGGCTTATGATCAGATTTTAATAGGCATTTCCTTCCCATCAAAAACTTTCTCTCTTTGTGCTCCACACAATTGCCAATACCTCTTTCTCAATATTCAAATAATGTCTCCGTTAATCTACTGGATGAGTACATTACAGGGTGATCCTCTTGTGAGCTATATTGCAGCTATAGCACAGTCACTGGCATCAGTAGTTAACGCCAATTTGTTCGCTGGGTTGAAAATTTTAAACAACTGGTTTGTTTACGAATGCCTTTTTTAATTTCTAGAAAGCAACCTCCCATCTTTATGTCCATTTGAAACACTGTATTCTCCATTGATTGTGATTGTCATGCGCATACTATTTAATTTTCTCAAAACTTGCTTCATTTTACTTTTGAGCTCTTCTTTACTGCATGCACCAATGCCAATGCGTCCTGATATACAATTATATTTTTAATCCCCTCTAAAACATTTTCAATGGCTTTTTGGAAAATGTGACTTGACATTTTTACTCCAAATGGTAGATGAGTCCATCTTAGTAATCCAATAGGGGCATTCATTGTGGTGACTTCTTGAAACTTGCTATCAATTTTTATCTGATTATATGCTAACTTAAAAGGTCAATTTTAGCAAAGTATTTCATACCAGCAAACTCACAGCATGCTGTTTCAATGTTTGGCAATGGGAACGAATCTAAACAGATCTGGTGATTCACGCCCACTACAAATTCTTAAATCTTCATTGGACTTGCATATCACCATAATAGGTGAGCCTAGTTGCTACCACCCTGGCTGACTTTTTCTAATATTCCTCGTTCCACTATTTTGTTCAGCTTAGAAACCACCAAGAGTATAGCATGTAAACAGGAACTTTTCAGGCTTGATGAGTTGGCTGCTTAATTTAAGGTGAATCCTCACCTTGTATCCCCTTAATAATTCAACATCTGGTTCTACAGACTTCATGGAATTTATCAACTTCAATGTATAAACATAACATTACTTCCAGTATCCACCTACATGAGTAAAGTTGCTCCATTCAACTTCACCATTTCCCTACTTTTATTTCAAATACTTCCATACTTTCAATCAGAGGATCTATATTTTCCACTCGCTTTTTATAAGTACATATTGTCTAGAAATGATTTCTCTTTTTACACTCTTTTCCCAAAGGCTGGACACTTATTTTTTGCTCTTTTCATGTTCCTTATTGCAATATCTGCATGTAAGCAAGCTTCTAGTAGCACTTACAGTTTCCATGCTGCCTTTGGAGGCATTAAGTTTTTTCTAATCGACTGATTGTTGTAAGAACTACACATGATTCTAGATTTATGAGCTTGAAGCTGTTCTAGAATTTTACACTTGTTCAAAATGTCAAATCTTCCTTCAGTCTTAGCAAAATTAGCAATGGAAATTTTTGGTCTCACACTTTGGTGGTGTCCTTTACCTTTTTTTTTTTTTTTTTACACTCTTGCTGATGCTGCAAAACACCTAAACCAGGATCCTCCATTATGGTTAAGTAACTGATCTATGATGCCATACTGTTATGATAGGTATTCTCTCTGACAGATGTCTTGTCAAGAAGATAGCTCACCCATAAGTATAGCGATATTGTCTTTTAAACAGTACCTCATTTACATATCACTATAGCACCAATATTTCTCATCAAACATGGGATGGAATCAATGCATATTGCTACAGTTCAAGTTACCTATATTAACATACCTCTTCAGCTTCAACACGGGCTTCATCCTCTGTATGAGACACATCAACTAAGTGACGATAGCATAAATAACGCATACTGTGGCAAGCTGCACACACCTGTTTGTAAACTTGGTATCCACGACGTATACTAGTAAGACAAAAAAAAAATTAAAAAAAATAACAATTTTTAGAAAACTAAGAAACCTTGCAGAAGTAACCTTTAGGCATATGCATACAAATATTTAAAATAGCAATAATTATTTTAACTTAAATCTAAGCTTTAAATGGATTAATAAAACTAAATTAAAACAGGATTCAGTTTTCTTTTTGAAAATAATCCAATCCATATTGTAATTATTTATTTGGCTGAGGTGTTATAAAGTTACAAATTATATGAATAAAACAAAGTGAAAATAAGATGCAACCTTTGAATAAAACTGATAAACCATAAATATAATCTGTTTTATAAGTCTTTCAATAGAGGTGAGATTAGTTCATTCCAAAGGAGGAAAGAAAATAAGAACAGATCAGTGCCATTAAGCCACGCAGCAATAAACCATGATATCACTTATGCCACGCATGTGCAATGGACCCCAAAATTTTTTGACATATTCATATTAGAATTATAATCATCAGTGGATCCCAATTTGAAACAAATTCAAACTTGATTGTAACACTTTTTAAAGTCTGATTTTTTTCTGTATAATCTTTTATTTTTAATAAATTCATTAAATTGAGTTTTAATACCATCAGTATATCCATATTTTCCCAGACATTTACCATTGTTTATGCTTTGGCATTTAACATTCATGATTGTGTAGTGGTTTGGATTAGCACTTCGGATATTTGGAGTTTGAAATATGCAGCTTACAACCTTTATCTTAACTTAAAAGTTTTACACATTTACTCAACGGGATTTGCTTTAATTTTGATAATGTGTCTACCAAATAGTTTATATAATCTGCAGAGAAGAGTCATTTTAAATCAAAAAATTTTAAGGATTATTAATGGAAGCTGCCATTGCAGTCAAATAACACCTTTCAACACTTTCAAAAAGTGCCATCATCTGTGATATCAAAAGAAATGATGGAATTATCTTACTTTGTCTAATAAACTAGCATCATGTATAAAAGCACCCATTTAGATACATACATTAAATACTAAAAACAATTACTAAGATAAAATGTTTAACAATACAAAAAAAATTGTGAAATAAAAGTCAATAAATACCTTGCATGGTCAAAAGACTGAAAGATTCCTGAATGTCTCCATGCATATGCTGGTGGATGGAGTGTGAGGTCAGAAGCCAATACAGCTTGATCTAAAATGAATGCATAACTTGCTCCTCCAACACCTGCTAAACCCAAAAGGGAATATGCCTGAGAAAATAAATGAACAAGCAAGATGTAAGCAAATACTATATGATTAAATATTCTATTCTTGATTCTTTAAAATTTCTGACACTTCAAGGCATCCACAAAATTTGATTGGGAGCCAACATTTTAGTTTCCTCAATAGCAAAGATATCTAATTCTCTTTCTAGAATGGATCAGGATTTATCTAAATGCCTACTCAAATGGGATGTGGCACAAAGTCAAGTTTAAAGTGGGAGTTCCACATCTACATGGGGCCAAAGACCTAAATTAGTCCAGTCTCTTGGTATTTTTCTTTTCAGATATTCAATAAAGACATTTTTCTCTATTACTGTAACTACGTCATACTTCCAAAAATAACTGATAATTAAATAATACTTAATAAAAAAAAAAAAAAAAAAAAAAAAAAAAAAAAAAAAATACGAGCATATAAATCTGATATTACAAAAGAAATTAGTGTACTCCAAATTGTTCAATCTGAACCCATTCTTCTTGTTGAGGAATAGATTGCTGTTAACAAAATGTTTTGGCCAAATATACAAAGAAGTTATACAAACAATACTTGGTATGTTAAGGATGTTTTAAAGTTATAGACAATATAAATTTTTTTTAGTTTTGATTATTTCTAAATTTATGATATTAAAAAATAAAATTACTACAGCAAAACAGTTTTTTCTGATATCATTCATGTCAACTTATAGTCATTAGAAAATCCTGAAAATTTTAAGTGAAAATTCTTAACCAGTCAAGATATCACAAGTTGAAAATCAGCATTTTCTGTCAGATATTTCTATTTTCAAAATACAATAATTTCACAAAAACCCTTATATCTTCTGACCCACTGGCCAGGAATTAATGAAATTTGATACCCTTATAGATTTTTAGTTAAGGATCCAAATATCCATTTAGAATTTTATAAGGAACAACTGAAAAGTAGATATTAGCAATTTTCTAGTGAGAAGAAAAAAAAAAAAAAAAAAATGAAAGTGTTTATGTGGCTGACCATACAGAAAAATTGAGCGATATTATCTTCTGCCCCTAAAAAGGTGGCACAACATTTGAAAATTAGAATATTTTGGGAATAAATCTCAATAAATTTCCTTAATTGTCTCTCAAAGCTACCAATTCTAGACCTCTTAATAGTTTTTTTTCTCAAAAATTCTGATTCATAGTAATTTTGCAATGATGCAGACTCATTCTGCTAAAGGTGAAGAAGTCCATAGGTAACAAAACATTATGTAGTATTTGGGGAATTTATTCCCTAAGTTTTAATGGGTGTTTGACTATGTGTTTCTAAAATAAAAAAAAAAAAAAAAAAAAAAAAAAAAGAGAAATAAATTAACATTAGCATCCAACTCATCCAGTTTCCTTACAGATTTTGAATCTAAAAATATCACATTAATCAGTCATGTCTACACTGGAGATTTGGAAATAAAAAAAGCTGAATTTATCAGACTTTTTGAGCAATGACCTTTGCAAATTTCTCTAAATACGCAAACGTGAAAGGTAAGTATAAACAATCAAAACAATGCTAAGTAGACACATCTTAAAGGAAAAATGATACAATTTACATTCAATGATTAAAAAAAACAAACAATCATTAGGCTTGAATTAGTCTAGGCTCTGTAAAATGGGCCCAGATAAATTTCTCTATTTCGTCCTAAATACTCATGTATTAAGAAATGAACAGGACATTTTGGCTTTGCCTTCAGCAAAATTAGGTAAAGTCCTACTAGAGGAGACCATTATTGTAGTAAAAAACTTAAGATGATCAGTTTTCACAACTTATGCCAGGCAAGAAACACTCATAAGCAAAAATGATTAAATACTTTTAAATTTGAAAGAACTCTTTAAACAGTTCAAATTACATCATCCTTATTACCAAATTGGATTTTCTAAATTCTGTGTCTTGCAACCAAAGTATTGTTTTAGCTGATAGATCTGGAACTCCTTATGTTTGTGAATGTACATATCACAAAAATGCAAAGCTTTTAGTTGATGCAATCAAGTGGGTTGAGACATATAAAGACTTGATTAAATGATGTAGTACAGAAAATGCTCTAGAATTGAGGCTCTCACAGCCCATTTAAAATACCAATTGAAAGAGTTTAAGAAATCAGCTTCAAACAGTGGAAATCAACAAATGTTGGAAAACTTGTCACTCTTTGATGTCCATCAAGGATTTTAAAAGGTTACTAAAAAGTAAAATACATAACCTCACTAAACATTCTTTCATTTCTAAAGCACAGAGTAAATACCTTAAACAGTTAAAGGAAATCCTTACAGAGACAGTGCATTATCCTGTTGACTTTACAGAAAATTACACACTTTCAATGCAAGATGAAATTCAAAGTTACCATTGGAATGTTCCCTTCACCCAGTATGTAGCTATTACAGAACTGACAAGGTAAACTAAGTGTTTTTGTATTTTATTAGAAGATCAGGATCATGATGTGGCATTTGATTACTGTATTCAAAAATTTATAATATCCTATATTAAAGAATATCTTTGAAAAGTTAATTCTGTAATGTATTTTTCTGATGGGTATTCAAAGTCAGTACAAAAACTATAAAAACTTCCTGAATTTATGTATCCATAAAAATGATTTTGCCCTTGATGCTGAATGGAGGTTTTTTTTTTGTAACAAGTCATGGAAAGTGTGTGTGCTGGCATTGGTGGCACTACTAAATGACTTGCTGCAAATGAAAATTTCAAGCAAATCACAAGAAATCAAATTGACTGCTGAGGGCTCATTTCTTTTCTGTCAAGAAATATAAAGAATATCATCTATTTTTTGCTATCTATTAAAGTATTAAAAAATTCTATATTTGCTGATGGACGCACAGTCCTTAGAACAAGGTCTTTTAACCACTTCCTTTCTGGAGATGGCAGTACTATAATCTACAAAAGATTTAGTTGTGATCAAACCACAAAGAAATTTAATATGTCAAGAAACATCATCATACCCAGAAATTTTCATTAAAGCAATGGAAACTGATTTAAAAATATAGTTTCTACATCCTCATTCTTCTTTCTAAGATATGAAGACATATGCCGGGTTCCTAATGATAATATATTGTACAATCTTACAACATGTACATCCTTCAAAATGATATAGAATAAGAATTGGACCAAGAGAATTAATGATTCATAGTTTTATCTACAAACTAAATTCAAAATTCATTTTACCAATTTTATAATTTCAGGTTACATTGCAGGTTATTTACATTATTCAAACTGTTATCCTCATCTTCATTGCCATATTCACAACATTTCAGCTATTGTATACTCTGGCCTTCTTCAGGTGATTGGAATTTCAAACTGAACCCTTTATTTCATCCACCAGGGTAGAATGTTTTAGTTCCACATGCCATTCCTCTTTTGGATGTCTCAGTTATTTCCCTTTAACTCAACTCTCCAAGTTTTTTGGTTCACCACTGCTGTAGCCTGGTATTGAACTTGAACTCTTTGAGTCTAGTCACTGGATCTAACCAATGCCTTTATCTGGGCCATGTGTCACTTGAAGAAGGCCAGATCATATGACAGAAACATTGTGAATATGATATTGAAGATGAGGTTAACAGTCCAAATAATGTAACTATTCATAATACTTCATCTTGGAGATATAGACAGATACATTGAAGGTATAAAGTCAATACTCTTGCAATTAGAGACAATAAATATATAGCTATTCCAAGTACTTTTATATTATTTTTTCCTGAAATGATTTATCTTGCACTCTGCTTAAAAAATAATAATTATAAATTTAGATCTTTGCTTCTTTCTTTCTCCCTCTAAACTTTTAGAATCTTGATCAGGGAAATCTTCATGCCACATGGGAAATTTTGCTTTCAGGTTAGAGTTGGGCTAAATTTTTGCATGTTTTTTTTTTATTTTTTTATTTTTGCAATGCATATTCAAACACCCATGAAAAAGAGGGAGTTGTTAAAACTTAGGAAATAAATTCCCCAAATACTATGTAATGTTTTCCCAATGTTTTGTTACCTATGGACTTCATCTTTAGAAAATACTCTAGTTTTCAAATGTTGTATCACATTTTGGGGCTGGAGATGATATTCCTCAATTTTTCTGTGTTAGCTGCTTAAATTTTTTTTAAATTTTTTCATCAAAAACTGCTAATATCCACTTTTTGGTTACTCCTAAAATTCTAAATGGATATCTGGATTTCTTGACTAAGATCTATAAGGGTATCAAATTTCATTAATCTCAGCCATTGGATCAGAAGATATACGGGTTTTTTTATGAGATCATTGAGTTTGGAAATGGAAATGTCTTTCAACATTCAAATTTTCAAGATTTTCTAATGAATATAAGATCTGCAACATATATCAAAATTAACAAAATCTATTTTTGGGGGTTACACGTTTTTGGTTGAATTTACATGGAATGCTCCATTGTTCGTAATATTAAGTTTTTAGATCTTTATAAAGAAACAAAAAATTAAATTGTCAGATGATTTGTTAGGCATTTGCAAATTGTTCTATAGGTTATACCTGAAATTGTAGCATAACCTACAACTGCTCAAGTTATTTCCCACTTTTCTTGCTAAGAATGAAATGGAGAAAAACAGTACTATGCCTGCTGAAATAAGTTTTGATTCCTATTTACAAAATGGGCAAGTAATATTTTGATGCATGACTGTTCAGATAACTGGTATTAAAATAAAGCTATACTGAACATATAGAAAACTAGGTTTGCAAGGCTTTAAAGAGTTTTCTTTCATTCAATCAATGAGTAAAAACACAGGATATTGCATAATTGATTCTATTTTACAAATAAAATCAGAATTTCTATTATTTTAATAAAAATATGGAACTAAATAAATTGAATTCATTGAAGATGCAAAGTTTATTAAGGTGGTAACTGATCATTGTTTTGTTATGAAAGTATCCAGTCATTGTTGCTAGTGAGTGCATTTGATGAAGATGCTCCAACTTTATCTTATGCTTCATATCACACCATGAAAAGGTCTCTTAATTGTCAATGGCTTCATTAATGAGGAGTGCAAAGTATCTGACTTTCCTTCACATTGATGTCATCTGTTCTTTCAGGACAACATTAATAATCTAATCCTTGCAGAGTTTCTGTTCTGATGTAGTCATCACAGTTTATTCAATCATCAATTTCAGCCTTTACAAAGTCTCCTAATCCCAGTGTTGTATAATTCTTAGTGATTTCAGTTGTCAGCTTTTCATATGGATGAGTGTCTGCTTCACTGTGATAGCTATCAACAGTTAACCAATACTATGTGATTGCTGACCGTTCAAGAATGTCCAAAAAGTCAGTAATCCTGAACAAAAGCATCCACTGTAGAGAATTTCATAATTTCTGACAATTCTTTGCATTGTCTGCATCAATGACAGAATGCAACAGATTACGATAATATTTCTTGATTGCTGCAATGATTCCCTAATTGTAGCACAAAATTGATGTTCAGTGAGAAAAACGAACACTTGATAGCGACATCTAGTAATTCTAATTAGCTGCATGACCTTGACAACAAGTAATAGGACACATTGTTTGAGACTAATACTTGCTAAATGTGATTGATTAGTAGGTATAAATTCTTTCAGCAACTAGGCTGAAAAAAGTGGTATGTCCTCGTTTTGTGATTTGTACTTCATGGGAAACAAGTTCTTATTACAGTTCAAGCATAATGACAATGTAAACATGTGGTAATTTATGAGTGCTGAGGATATGGATGCAAAAAGGTTTTCTGCTGGATTTAGTAGGTTAAGAAAATTAATACAGAAATGAAATAAATTCAGTTTTTTTTTTTAAAGTGGGAGTTTATCTTTGGCAAATTTTTTTTATGTCTAACTACAAAATGTCATTTTTCCCCTATGCATTTAAAAGCTACAAAACAAAATGCAAGACAAAAAGAGAGGAAATGAAACTTACAATTTTTTTCCTTTTGGGAAGAGATTTAAAGGAGAGGTTTGCCTGAAAGTGACAAAAATAAACTTTAGTGTGGATATTTTACATAATATTTTAAATGTGAACACAAATATATAAATGAAAAAGTATTACAAATAATGTTTTAAAAAGCATAAAAGTATATTAGAAGTTCATATATATCAAGTAAATTTGCTTTGCAAATTTATATTAACCAAAGATTGTCATTGGTAGCATTGAGCTTTAAATACATTCAAAAAGATCACTTTTGATTGTATTATAACAAATCATATAAACATGCATTTTTAAAACTAATTTATTAAAATTGACATTTTCCTCATTGATTTAATGAATATAAAGAGAAGCAAGAATTTCAGCATACATTTTTTTTTTTTAGAATTATTTTAAGTTTAAAATGCAAATTCAGCACAGAAAAATTTGTAGAGTTTATTAAAAAGGTACAGTAAGTGATTGAAAATGTCAAATTTGTGGGGAGGATAAAAATATGTCTGAATAGAAAATAATGCAAAAAAATAATGCAAAAAAAAAAAAAAAAAAAAAAAAAAAAAAATATATTGTTCAATAAAGCTAAATATGCTGAAAATGAAAATTAAAACATGTCTTTTTTAGTTAATAAACCAAATGATGTTTTTGACCAACTGAATATGCCTGCATAAAATTCTGGCAAAGTACATTTACTATTTTCATTAAAGTGAGTTAAATTATTTTGACTCACTTTAAAAATCATTAAAGTAATGCCCAATTAAATCCGAGCAAGAAATGAACACAAAAGTTGACTTGAATTTTTCTATCAGGCTTACAGTTTTGCTTGGTATAAAATACACTGCAAATATACTAATGCTTATTGTATATACTGTATTCAGACTTATACATATTAGATTAGAAACGAATGTAAAATAAATAAAAATAAATTCCAACATTATCATCAACAGTATTTCAGTGAAGAGAAATTGCTCAGGAACTAATTTTGTCTTAATAAAAAATGAAATCTGAGCATATAAGACTTTATTGCATTATCTTTACAATTTTACAAAAATGAACTTAAATTAATCCTGGAGAGCTTCTTTATGCACAATGTTTTTGATGATCTTTTTGTTTGGGGTGCATTGATAAAGATTTTTGCTGCGTTCTACGTGCAAGCAAGCAAACAACATATGCGAAAAACGGATTCTGGAAGCCAACAACCTTAAGTGATTATCCCTGGAACTTCTTAAAATTAAATGGCAGGTCTTATGGTAGAATCAGAATCCTTAGAATGACAAATTCTTCACCTTTGTCATTTCCAATGATTTACTTGCATAGCCTTCATATCAATCTAGTGCCATTGTAAAAAGAGTCCATATTTATCAATATCATAACTGGAAGGTCCTTTTTCCCCTGAATTATATTCTGAGATGGCATATCAGGTAGTTGGAGGGAAATAAGGAATTTACTTGGAAATTGAACTGGTTGATGACAGAATAATAATGGTGTTTCAGGAAAAATATGAAGGAGATTTAGATTTATTTTATTTACTGAATGGCTCTCTCACATAGAAAAATTTAAGAAATTTCAGTGTTTATGCAAGTAAACACTTTTTTTTTGAGTTCATTGATGGTCAAAACCATCTGTTTACAAGGGAACACATGCATTTGATTTTGTGTTCAGTAGCAGCTTTACCTTTCCAATGCTCACTAACTGCTGAGAGAACTACTCTGCAGACTGGTTTCCAAAACAATGTGCCCTCATGTTGATAAGCTTAAGCCTTCTTACAAATCTTCAGATTTGAGATGCTTTAATGCAAGCTTTAAGCATATCAACTTTTGTTCCTTTTGGTACAACTGGAAATGTTTGCTTAAAATTCCTGACAAGGACCCCAGCAACTCCTTCCATAAGGTTTTGGTTACCCCTAATATCTTGAATCCTATTTCAAGCCTAAATGTGCTCCAAAAAGTGACATTGTGCATTCATTTCATACAATGTCAAGACTTTTGGAGAATCTTTGCTATTGCTGATTCCTTGGAAATATTGCATACTTGTTTGGACTAGGGTCAGAGGTAGCTTGAATTCAAAATGAGCAGTTCTTCCACCTGTGAAGTGTTTATAACATGTAACAAATATTTTTTTATTTTATTTTTTGAAGATTTTTTTTTAAAACTGATAATTTTGTTTTGTTTACAAATTTCTTAAAGTGAGAAAATGGCCACTTGTAAGAAGATTTTTTGAAAGCAAGCATATATAAGTTATGTTTTAAATACACCAGATTATTTTACTTACTGGAAATAGTAAATTTAATCATGTAGCTTTCAATTAAAGCTAAAAAGATAGCTTCAAGAATGATTTTTCATTTTTAAACCAAGGTATCGAAACTGAGTGGCAGTGCTTAGATTAGTATATATAGTTTTCACTTAATAAAAACTGATGAAATTAATACAGAATTTTAAAAGATTTAAAACCTAATAAAATTCTTCTAATTAAAATTTTAAAAAGTGAAAACAATTGTAAAAATTTGTCAAAATTTTTTTCTTAAGATAATGTCCTTAATATATCTTAAAAGCAATTAGAAGCATTTCTAATTAAATAATGTCAGTTTTATTGCATTTTCTTATTTTACTATTCAGAACAGATTTTTTGTAAATGGTGTTTGTTTGACAAAAACAAATTTCATGAAATTAAATAAGTGTGTGTTAATGAGATTCTTATAAAATTTAAAAAATAACTTCATTCATTTGGGAATAAGTCCTGGAAATTTCATTCAATCTAACAATTATAGAGGTAGTTTTATAAAAATGTTGATTTTTGTAAATACAGACATTTATATATATGACATTATCAGAAAATAAGAGTGATAACTATAGTAAATATAAAGCCAAAATAGCTTAAAAATTCAATAAAGCATTATGGAGAATATTTCCTAATTATTTAAGATTACTGAGTACTTAGAAATTACATAAAATAGACACTCATGTTAGATTCATCAATTATTTTTTTTTTTTTTTTTTTTACAGATAATGAAAAACATTAGGTAAACATCAAGCTGTCAACATCTTAAATTGTGAAGGAATTGACTGTTGGTCAGGTGGGAAAAGAGCAGTGGATCATTTAGAAAGACTTATTAACAAAACACCTTATCTTCTGTACTAACCTTTTATAGTTGCAGTGGTCATGTGACCGTGTTACCATAAGTTGTATAAAAGGAGAGGAAATCTTTTTTTTTCTTCTTTAAAGAGTTATCTTCCATGTTATCAGATGGTTATGTTGTGGAAAGGTGGCAATATTTTTCACAACTTAAGCTAAGTGCTATTGCTTCCTTTTCCTCAGCCTGACCAGTCTATTCATTCAGAACAATTTCTTGGAAAGAAAAAAAAAAAATTTCTGCAATATTTTAAATTTAAAGTAATTATGCTTTAAATCAGGTAATATTCCTCAAATAAAGTTTCAGAAAAGTATATTTTATTTTTGGAAGATTTTTTAATAAAGAGAATTACATTTCTATAAACACAGGCTAAAATCAGATTTTAGCAAAAAGAAAAAAAGCTCCTTCCAGTCAATTTAAATTAGTTTTGAAATAGAGCAAAGTATTTTGCTTATTGAAAATATAAAATTTAATCTATTAGCTTGAAATTAAAACTAAAATAAAATCTGCAAGAAAGGATTTTCATTTTTAAGAATTCATTTTAAACCTTGGGTATCATGAATCAGTGGAGATAGCTACTATAAAGCTAGAGTACATAAAATTTAGGTACCTCCAATAATTTGGTGAAAAAAGAGCACACCATGATGAAAAAAAAAAAAAAAAAAAAAAAAAAGCCCCATATTTAATAAAAACAATCTTTCTAACACATTCAAAGTTTTAGTTAAAAGAATCTTTTTCTTCATTTTTATGCATCAATGGTGTAACAGAGCTGGTAATGGACTTTTTTGCACCTGTTTTCCAGTAAAATAACATTAATTTGGAAAGTCTTGCAAAAATCAAATTGTCAGATTTTAATGAGGCTTTCAGGATTTATTCACAAATGAATGAATTCATTTTTGAATATTTTTTTTACCAAGATTTTAAAAAAAAATTTTTTTTTTTTTTTTTACATGTTAACCTCCACTTGATTTTATGAAATTTGTAGAAATTAAAATCGTCAACCAAATGTTTTTATTAGTTAAAAGCAGGTCACCTTGGAGAATCTAAATCATTTTTTTTATTTTTTTTTTTTTTTTTATTTATTTATTTTTTTAATTTTTACCAAATTCTCTAAAATCTGCTTCAAATCATAAAATAAAACAATCTAATTAGTTAATTAGATAAGCTTTTAATTGCTTTTATAAATAATATATAATAAGGACATTATAGTCTGAAGAAGAAAAAAATTTTTCGATGAATAATGAATTTTTACAAGAAATGTTTGCATTTTTTTTTATAAATTATAATAATTTATTATTGTCATCATGAGGGTTATTTTATTATTAAATTTTTATAGTACTTTAAATTTTATTATTAATTACATAATTGTTTAAACTTTTATTATTTTAACCCAATAAGCAATATTTAAAAGGAATTGCTACTATATATAACTTTGAAAAGACTTTCAGGAACATTTTGTGGCCCTGAAAAGGGCATCTTTTGTCTTCTATTGCCTCTTCAAGTGTCATCACTACTGGGCTGATTTTCGAAATACAAGTCCAGCATAACATAGCACCAACTTTATATTTGTTCAATTGATAGTAGTTGGTTACATCATTAAGATATGAAATTGTATAAAATGGATTTGCGAAACTGACGTAGTTAACGTATTCATGGTTGACACCATCAATTGCCCAAATATGTTTGATTGTACATCCAACTATGAGCCCAGTGGGTATTTCATGAAACTTAAGTAATGAATAATGAATTGAAGACAAGTGAATTTCTCTGTAAAGGGAGAACAACTCTTAGAATGTTACCTTTTCATAATAATATCACATGCAGACTACCATAGATAATTGGTGCAAAATAACTTATATTAAGCTTTTCAGTTTTTGATTTGTAAATAAAGATTCAACTTAATTATAATTTC